TGTCTACCTGTCTGTTTCACACACAGTGATGAATGAAGAATGAAAGCATGAAAAAATAAAACTTCCCGTTATCCTTGTCTAACACCTCTTTTGCATGTATCATCCTGGGAAAAATAATAATCAAATTAGTTATGGGTAATTACATTGAATATATAATCATTTGACTTAAAGGCACTTAATAAAATCCTAGAGCTTGTTTATCAACATATTATATTATAACACATGTTTAGGTGGAAAACTCATGATTTCTCTAATTTTATCTAGCACTTTGTGTTTACTATTTCAGTATTTGAGATCCCTGCCTTTGTAATCAAATCTAGGTTCAAATCTTAGGTTTCTCCTTGAGCCACACTATGCGCTCTGGCTCTCAGCAGCTTTTACACTGAAGTGATTGTAAAATATGTCTATGTAAAACCATTTAGTTTGAAGATGTAGATATTGAGACAGATGAGTGAGTTATTCTGGGAAGACAAACATGAGCTAAGAAGAGATGACTGAACTCTGAAGGCCGCCCTTAGTGGCCCCTGTTAATTCTTCACTGGTCACTGGTAGGAAGCTGTTTCTGACATATGAGTAACTTCCCAGCTCTAGTCATATCTCTTCTTGCTGCCTGAGGCATGGCCCAAGTTGGAGGAGAGTTGAGCAGTTGAGCGACTTGAGTCAATACAGAGGATGAGTAGCAGGCTGGAAAAATGCCCTGCTTCCTGCCCTCCCATGATAATCAGGCACGTTCCCCAGTGTTTCAAAGAGCTTACTGACAGAAACTGTTCAGAAAGTTTTCACCTTATGAATTGGGTTATCTGTTCTTTGTGCTTATGGACTATGGTAGAATATCCAGTATGGTACCCATTCATTCTTGTTCTTTGTCTTTCCAATGTGTATGTGTATATAGTATTTGTTACATATGGTTGCATATGCACGTGGGCACATGTATATATGTAGGTGTATTTACTTGTGCAGGTGCATATAGTTGCCTGGTGTTAACATCAGTCTGTTTCCCTCGATTGCTTCTCTACTTTATCTTCTGAGCCAGGGTTTCTCACTGATCCTGGAACTCACTGTTTGGGAGCAGACTGTCTGGCCTGTAAGTCTTCCAGAATATATATTTCCAGCCCCTAGCCCTGGGGTTATGGTCATTATGTCCATCATCTCCAGACTGCTATGGGATGCTCACTATCCAAACTCACTTCTTTATGCCTTCACAGCAGGCACTTTGTCCAGTGACACATCACAGCACGTGTCTCTTTTTTTTATTAATTTTATTTTCTTTTTTTATCCACGATCCTCCCCTCTCCCCTCTCCTGAACCATCTCCCCGTACTTCCACACCCCGCCCCCATGCACCCAAGTTTGCCTGGCAATCTTGCCTACTTCTAATATCCAGGAGGATAACTATATGATTTTCTTCAGGTTCACCTTCTTATTCAGCTTATCTAGGATCACAAATTATAGACTCAAAGACCTTTAACTATGGCTAGAACACACTTATGAGTGAGTATATACCATATTCCTCTTTTTGGGTCTGGGTTACCTCACTCAGTAAAGCGTTTTCTATTTCCATCCATTTACATGCAAAATTCAAAATGTCATTGTTTTTTACCGCTGAGTAAAACTCTAATGTGTATATGTTCCACACCTTTTTTAACCATTCTTCTGTTGAGGGGCACCTAGGTTGTTTCCAGGTTCTGGCTATTACAAATAATGCAGCTATGAACATAGTTGAACAAATACTTTTGTAGTGTGATAGGGCATCTCTTGGGTATATTCCCAAGAGTGGAATTGCTGGGTCCTGACGGAGGTTGACTCCCAGTTTCCTGAGACCCACCACACTGATTTCCACAGTGACTGTGCAAGTTTGCATTCCCACCAACAATGGATGAGTGTTCCCCTCACTCCACATCCTCTCCAGCATAGGCTATCATTGGTGTTTTTGATTTTAGCTATTCTGAGAGATGTAAGATGGTATCTCAAAGTGGTTTTGATTTGCATTTCCCTGATTGCTAAGGAGGTTGAGCATGACCTTAAGTAGCACAGACAATAAGAGAAACAATGAATAAATGGGACCTACTGAAACTGAGAAGCTTCTGTAAAGCAAAGGACACTGTCAGTAAGACAAAAAGGCTACCTTCTGACTGGGAAAAGATCTTCACCAACCCCTCATCAGACAAAGGTCTGATCTCCAAAATATACAAAGAACTCAAGAAACTAGACACTACAACTCTAATTAACCCAATTAAAAAATGGGGTACTGAACTGAACAGAGAATTCACAACAGATGAACAGCACTTGTCTCTTAAGATCAGCGTCCAAAGAAAGGTTCTGTCTAGGCCGGGAAAAGAACTTAGCGCATGAAGTTCTTGCTGCAGTGGCATGAGAATGTGAAATCAAATCCCCAAGGCCACATGAAGCCACTGTAATCTGCAATCCTAGTTCAAAATGGAAGTCAGCGTCTGGAGAATTCCTGAAAACTCATGGGCCATCTAGTCTGTCATGTATGAAATTGAGCAAAAAAAAAAAAAACTTGGTAAAAAATGAAAACCTTCTGCACACACCTCTCTGACCTTCCAGTGTATGCCAGCATTCTCACATGGACATGCCTATGGATCACACATGCATACCCCATACTCCGTCACACATACCACAGATACATATGGGCGCGTATATGCACTCTTCTGCACACAAAGTTTTGTTGTTAAGAATTTTCCTCAGTCATTAGATCTGGTTTGAGGACACAACTTTAATCAGAGAAATTCTTGAAAAAGTATAGAAACCATGATTAATGAAGGCTTATGTGTCATGGAGAACAGAACCAAAAGTTAAGAGTATTGGTTTTTAAAAACCAGAAGCTTCAGTCTTTGACCGGCATGAGAAGGGCCACAAGATACAGAGTTATCTGGCAATAGTTCTAGTTATGACTTAGTTTTAAACATGAGTTTTAGTGTAATCCTCTTATTCCTGAGGGTGCGGGGAACCAATGGACTAAAGGATTTTGGAACAAGGTAATAAAGTAATGCTAGACAGTATCTTCAAGGGGAACTGGAGCCAAGGGTCTGTGAAGAAATGTGTGTGTGTGTGTGTGTGTGTGTGTGTGTGTGTGTGTGTGTGTGTTGTGTGGAGTTATTATCAGTGACTCAAGAGGAATGTATGCATTTAGCAGCCTTTCAGATGGCAGGGCATATTAAGTGCTATTATATAGTGTAGAGAATGCCATGGTGAGAGGTAGATAAATTGATCATTTTTGTGGAATGAAAGCTGGTATGATTCAATCACAGGTGTGGTTCAATCACAAGTATGATTCTTGTGGATTATGGATTCTTAGCTTTTATTTCAACACTGATTTAATTCTCTCTACTTTGTCTGTTATTTGTGCACCGTAGTCTAACTCAAGACATATTTAAATATCTACAATATTTGAGAAAACATTTACCATGTGATTCTCATTCATCCTTGGTGAAAACTGGGTTTGTTACTGACAAATATTTAAAACAAAATGTTAGTGAGAATATAACTTTACTAATGAGCAGAGGAAGAGTTTAGAATGGTGAAATTCTGTCCATAATGGTAATTGCTGTCTTCAAATTATTTTTGACATCTTTCAGACACATCAATTAATATTGTTGCTTTCATTTTAGTATTATTAGTGACCCCTCATTTCAAGTGGCACAGTACAAACATTTTTATTTTACTATTAGCATAAAGTAAATGTGATGAAAAACTTTTTAGGGAGATGTGGGTTTCAAGAAAAAGGAAAGAAAAAGTAATTGAAAGTCACTGTAGATTCTGAATGATTAACTCTGTGCCAAATAAGTCATTAGAAATCTCTGAAAGATATGAAAAGGCAATCATTTGCAAAATTGGAGAGAACTAAATTCCAATAGACATACTCTTCTACATTTTAATTTGTAGATTCAGAGAAATGAATGTCAAAATGGTGAAATATTAGCATAAGAGCCCTTACTATAGGAAGTCTGTAATGCTGTTAAGGTTTAACCAAGCTGATTAATTACCTTTGAATACACATATTTACATATATGTATGTGTACTTAGGTAGATGATAGATAGATAAAGATAGATAGATAGATAGATAGATAGATAGATAGATAGATAGATAGAAATATAAATCTATTATTTTCAGGTCTTAGTCATTGCTTTGTATAGCATGTTCTTATGTCTTGCCACATAATGCTTTAGTCATACAAAAAGTCATTCATTTGTATTTTACTAGTTTTGTATACATTAGCATTAAACTAAATATACATAAGCAAATCTTTTCAATATTAAGAATTGATACTCTAGGCTCCTTTAGGATGGTGAAAGAATAAGGCTTTTCAATTTTCTAACTACATCTATCCAATTTTTCCTATACCAAATCAAAATAGTTTTTCAGTAGCTACTGTTCATAATACAGCTATGTGCTTTTAAAATGGACACAATATGCTATGTCTGGATAGTTCGCTACAATAAACAAACACGGGGATGTCTTCAGGTCTGCACCTACAGATCCATGACACCATCGTCCATCAATCTTTTTTTATTTTAGGATATATATAGGGGAAAAAAAGCAAAGCTAAAATAGTGTGAAAAGCACTATCTTTGGTTTTTATTCTACTGTTTTCTTTTTTTTTATCAATTGGTAAAATGTCAAACTACCCCAGATAACTTACTCATCAAATGGCAGAGAGATCCTGAAAAATAATGAAGCAAAGGTGGTAAGGGCGGAGAGAAAATAGCTTTGACTTGGAATTTAAATTTCCAGTTAATCTTTTGAAAAACAGAAAGATGTCAATAAGCCACAAAAACATAACTTTACTTTTTTTCAGATGCTTAATTGCAAAAAAAAAATTCTTTAGTACCATCCAACACTTTATTTTTAAGGTCAACTACAGTACCAATTGAGTAAAGGAGAAACGTCATTTAGCTTTAATGGGAATGCTCTCTATTTTACATTTACCGTTCTGCACATTATTGATTTATTTCTTTTTGTGATGTTGTTTCTTGCAGAGAGTGAATCTGTCCTTCGATTTTCCATTTTATGGTCATTTTCTACGTGAAATCACTGTGGCTACTGGGGGTAAGTTGTTTTCTATGCATTCACCTAAAAAAAATCTAGTTTTTATTTTTAAAATATCTCATCTTACAAGATAGATAAAATTTATTAAGAAAAATATTGTCTTATGACGCAAATACATGAAATTAAATAAACTTAATAAAGAGTGGAGCTATTTGGAAATGTTTTCATCAGAAATAATAAAGTATAATTATAATTTTGAAATTAGAATCACCTCTGGACTTTCCTGTGTTTTAATTCACCTCTTGGTAATATGGCAAGACTACATATACTTAAAATGGAAAAAATGGAATAGAGATAGAATGAAAAGGTCTGAAATAGAGTTGTTGGCAACTCTTAATTTTTTCTTTTACTATGTTTAGTTACTATGCATGGGTATATACAATACAACAACCTGTACTTTCCCTTGAATTATTTTATCTTGTCATTTAATGTCTTCTGTATTAACAGAAGAGTTTAAGAATATTAAACAATGACATCCAGTTTGACTTTTCAAATTATTGCTCTCATTTATAAATGCAAATTATAGTGTTTGAGACTAGTACTTTCTGAGGAAGAAATGAACTACGTTTCACAGTATGTCCCAAAGTCTGGAGATGTGTTCACCGTGATTTGCTGCTGAAGGAGTTCGCACCTGAGACCACCCCTGTAAGCCACAGATGGTGTAGAGAATGAATGAACAAAGAAAAAAAACAATAGAACTTTAAAGATAAACAAGAGTGAAATGTCACCTAGAGACAGCATTGGTATAATGAAATTATTTCTTGGAGAGTGTCAAAATCCTTGTGGTTTTAAAGGAAGAAAGAATATCTCCTGGAGGGTCACAATAATCAAAATTAAATCAGATGTCTCACCATGATAATTCAGATGTTAATCCATATCTTCACAATGAAAACAGATTCTCATTAAAAATTTTCAAATAAAGATGTAGTGGTATTTCAATTGTATTCTAATAAATAACACCTGCCTGAAGATCTGAGAGTAAAACAGTCCCACTGGTCAGCCTTACAGATCAGGTAATAGTAACATACACCTTTAATCCCAGTAGCCACACTAATTTGCTATAGAAACTGGGTAGTGCATGCCTTTAATCCCAACCCGCTAGAGGTGACGGTAAAACAGGAGGAAACCGCTCTCAAATACAGTCTCACTCTGAGATTCCTGGAGGCAGGATCACCGTTTTGGACTGAGGTTGAAGTAAGAGCCAGTGGCTGGCTGTTTACTTTTCTGACCTTCAGGTTGAACCCCAGTTTCTCTATCTGAGTTTTCATTAATCGTGCTTCATAAACTCTCAACTTGATGGCTCTGCCATTGCTTGTTTATCCAAGCTGTTCTGAACCAAACCCCATGATAGGCTCTGGAGAAGAAACTCCAATCTGTACCAGGAAGGATAGACTATGGCGCTTGGATGAGGTTATCATCTCATGTAAGGGAAAGAAGGGGAAGTGATATGAATAAACAATAACAGGCTAAGCAGAAATGAGAAAGGAGAGGGAATGATTTCTGTGGAGCAACGCAAGACAGGTTATGAAAGAACCGACCTTTAGAGTCAACCTCTAAGACGGTTGGATTTTATATAGCAAAGAAACAATTAGTAAAAAAGTGAAGAGAGAAAAGATAGTCCAGAAAATGGAGTGCTGAGCGAAGTCAGTCTGAGGCCTATGTTGGGTGTGTTTGAAAAAGTGATTTGGCTGCTTTAAATGCTGGGAGTAGGAGCTTGGGTGAGATCTTGCCAGCCTAGGGTTGTTCAGGGTAGACCTAGTCTGACCTGAGACTGGGGGAAAGGAGAGGATGAATGATGGTAGAGAAAGTAGAGAGGATAGCTTTATATCTTTAAAATTTTTATTGTATTTTATTATATATTATAAAATTATATAGCACTATAACAGGGTATTATATAATAGACTGTAGAACAGCACTTAATTTAAGACTGAGATTAATACCAAGACTATTACAATTAAGTATAAGTATGTGGAAGTGCATATATGTACACATGCATGTATGCATTTGTATGTACCACAGAGTGTGTAGGGGGCTCAAAGAAAAACTGAATGAGTAGATTGTCCTTCCACTCTGTGAGTCTCCAGGACAAACTCTGGCCATCGGGCACAGCAGCAAGCACATTTACTCACTGAGCCATCTTGTTAGCCCAGGATGGCAGTTTCAATTCTTTCTGTAGATACATTTCCTGAGCTAGGTGAAGTGGAAAGGGGAAGAGGCAAATGCAAGATCTATCATTTAAATTGTTTAATGATTATAGTTCAAAAAGCTTCCAGTCAAAAGACCCATGAAAACACAGTGGATAAAAAGCTATGAGTTTGGAGATTTGACCTCTCATAGACCTTTGTAAATGATGAAGCATTACAAACTAGAAGGCAATTTGACAAATATCCAGTGTCATCGCACATCTTAAACAGACTATACACCATAGAGGGCTCAGAAGGGAATAAAAACTGCAAGTCAGATTTAAAAAGTTGATTTCAGGACGTAATCTAGGTGCGGGCCAGTGATTCTGAGGTAGGGGCATCAGCTTCCATTCTATTGACTGTCGATTATCCTTGATTGTGTCTCTGAGTTCTGCTGGATCTTGTTTCTATAACAATGTAGGAAAAAACAATGTAGAATGTTTTCATGGTAAATACAAGTTGTGGAAACAAACAAAGCAAATGCTATGAACATACTTCCTATTTCATTACCTCACTATTTGTTCCCTTGTTTTCTTAACCACCCTCTACACACAAACACACATACACACGCGCTCACATACACACACTCAAAATTTAATACTGAGAGCTTAGATTAATTCCATGATGATACCCCATATCGCTGTTAAGATCAATACAATTTCAACTCAGAAACTGATTTTAAATACAGACCACTACATCGTTCACGGTGGCAAATCTTTGTTGTGTACATGTATATATGTATGTGTCACGAATAAACTTCATTTCTATTCTAAATTTTAAAATTAAACTAAATACCTGGCTTTCATTTATAACTATAAAATCGTCTTTAGCTATTGAACACTTTAATATTCAAAAGCTCAATCATTCATACAAATAATGTAGGAAATGAATTTGAAATACCATCTTATTTTCTGGTTCACTGACAGCCCAATCCGAAAGCATTTATTTCTCTTTCTATTTACACCATACTTTGGTATGCAAATATCTCACATATCTCAAAGCTAGTCCTCCGTGCAGTCTATCATCAAAGCATGTCCATTATTGGTTCTAGTTAGTCCTGTTGCTTGCATCTCATCACTTACTTTACTTCAGACGTATACCTTAACTTACTACCGGGCTGCTGATCTGATATTTTACATGTTTCAAAGCACAGCGTTGTCTGAAGCTTTCATAGTTACTTTTTGAAGTCATCAATAGCAAGGGCATTTTAACCAGAATGCAGCAAGGGTACATGTGGCTATGAAGAATTGGGGACGGCAACGTGAGTGAGGGAGTAGAGAACAGACTGGCATGATTCAGAAACAAACTTTAACTATGTGGGCAGGTGACAATGTGTATGTAACTGTGAGCATTTACACATGCAATTAGTGGTCAGAGGTGAAGTTCGTCAAGAAGCTAAAGTGGATGGCTTGTTAACTGCTTTGAATGCATGAGGTATTTGCCCTGTTCTGTTTTATATCAATTTCTGATTGCTATTGCATTTCGAAAACGACTTAAATATTTTGCATATCTTTCCTTCAGTTGCCTTATGATAACTATTAAATATAAAATTAAAGTTACATAATGAATTTTTATATATGAAAAATGAATATGTGAATGTTAACCAGGCAAAAAATGTGAAATTCTAATCTCCCTTCTACTCTTACTTCATAGACTATGCATGTCCCTGTCAATCAAACTACAACTCTTAGTCTTTAAGTTACAGAGTATTAAATTTGGATTAGTTGTCTTCTATGTCAGGCCAATAATCATTTTTGCACATTTGAGGGCCTCCATAATTTAGACTTAGGCAATATCTATTTTTGTCATTGGATTTTCAATGAAGTATATTACTAACTTTTCCATCGTCTTCCTTTCTGGCTTTCAAATGGTAGTATTTTAAATTTAGTTCCAAATAATATTTCATGGTTTTTCAAGACACTTGGTTAGTAACAGGTATAAAAAAGACTTTTAGGGAAGACAGACGATTATTTTTGACTCCAGAAGATTTATAAACACTACCCCTTCTTGTTTCGAAGGTAAAGCCTCAAAAACCAGATTGTGCTGCATCCACAAACCATCCCAAACTAGTGAAGTAGAACAGAGTTATTATGTAATTATTAACAGAGTAATTATTAGCCGAGAGAAGAGGGCACAAGCACCCAGTCATCTGTGCATTGGTGGAAGACTGTCCAGCCACAGAATTTTAGCAGAAACAAATCCGTCCTTTCTGGACTGACAGTTTAAAGTAAGAAGCTTAAGTCTCATGGATGTTCAGACAGGCAGACAGATAGGACTCGGTCCAAAGAGTTGAATCTGAGTGATTCTCTGAGATACACCTGCGAACATCCAGCAACTCATTTTATCAACCCTCTTGGGTAATTTACTCTTCCCCTAAACCATCTAGTGTCAGCAGCAGTATCAGCAGCCGCAGATTCAGCAATGTTGCTATACTTCTCTTCCCTGTGGCGGTTTGGATCACTTATTCTCAAGTATCTTTGTTTCTGCTCTGGACACATGGGTTTCATTAGCTCTGGATTCCTGAGGTAGGGAATAGTAAGCTATTTAGAGCAGTGAAAGATCTAGGAAGTTGATTCCCACGGGAGCTCGAGCTAAGTGGGTAGGACAATAAGCAAGAAAACAAAACAAAGGCAGAGATGGGTAGAATGAAAATGGGTAATAACAACTACCACAGAGAGGAATTATGAGCATCTGGTGGACAAGTCATGAATGGAAGGCAGGTAGGGTGGGGGTGATCCCCTAAGATAAAAGACAGAATACACATGCTCATTGTCAACCATTACCCAAACAACCTCTGACGAGACTGCCTGTCTTCAG